CTTTGAACAGGTCCTGACTTTCAGTGGCGTCATTTCAGCTCATCAAGACAGGACGGTCGAAGCAGCTTGTGCATGCTCACCAAAGTTTCACATTTGTCACGAGCCAATTTCCTTCGCAGTGTCACCAGAGGCCCTAACACCTAATCAGTGGGACTGGAGTCTTTTGGCCTCCTTTGGCAGACAGATCGCCGAGCTAAAGATCACTACCGGCCTGTGGGAGGACAAAGAAAGACGGACGTAGGTTGGGCCTTCAGCGGGAGCTCGTGTGTGTGTGTCTATGTGTGAATTTGTTTTGCCGAATTCTTGGCCGGCAGATTTGAGCCGGAGTGTGAACTCTGTGAGTTGACTTTGTGAGGAGCCGACTTTCACTGAATGTGTGTACGCATGTATCTGTTTATGTCTGTCTGTGTGTGTATACGTGTATCTATGTGTGTGTGTGCGAGTTTGCATGCTTCTGTTTGTGCGCAAGGAAACTGATGATTTATAGGCCAAAGTCACCAGAGAACGACTGCAGACTTTTCTCCTCTTGTTGTCTGTTTATTTTAAAACGTTCGTGCAGATGCGGTCAAGGCGAAGCCCGCGTCGTCTTTTAGTGAACTCTGCTTTAGATGCAGCAAAATCGCAGTCGATTCATCCATGGCCGGTTGCCCTAGCGATAGTTGGCCTTTTGCATTGTACATATTCGTCGCTGTCAGGCTTCTCTTGACTCCCTACGGAGCAAAAATGTTTTTCTCTCTTCTCGTATTCGGGCTGCTTGGAAAAATAACTTACTGTAAGCGTTCATCATCGTCATCATCAACGACACCATTAGGCAGTAGCCTAGGCAACAAGTTGACAATGCTGGTGTGGCTTTTCGGTTGGTTGCATTCCCCTTTGCGTAGACTTGGCTTGACCTTATTTTCTAAATTTGGTCATGGCGACAGGGACATCTTTAAAAGAGTATTTTGTCATGCATTCTTTTTCATAGTATCTATATGCATCGGACCTTTAGCTTAAGGATGATATACGAAACCGCTGGTGGAAGAGTTTACGTTTCACCAAACTCACTTGACTAGACACACCTGGGATGTGTTGGAACAAGCTAAGATACAGCTTATTGTAGATGGGAAAATGGGTCATTTGAAGTGGAAATGAGAGAGGAAGATACAATCCAAGATGCATTTAGCCTATTTCGTTAAGGTGATGAAGGACTGACTGGTAGTTGCATTTTTCCACAATCTGATGAATAGGCCTTGTGTTCTATTGCATTTCACATATCCTTGATTCCCAAAAGTTATTCTCATCTGGCCAAGAGTGGAGAGTAGTTTTGACCTTGTCTCATCAGCACCCCCAGCAGAACTCGAGCCTGGGTTTTGTTAGTGCAGCGTGTGATCTCGACACGTCAACAATCACACCACGTCTGCCACGAGTGTACAGGGCAGATGTGAGTTTCAAGGAAGGCCAGACCTTTTTCCATTCCACATTATGTGTTGGGATTGTCTATGAAGTATTTTTTTTATAGCGATTGACTAGATTACTTATTTCTCGTTACTACGCGAGCTCTCGAGACTATCGGTAGAGCACATGTATCTGATGCATTCAATCAATTTCGCTAAGTTGACGAAGGCCTGGCCTTCCTTGAAAATCACATCTGACCTGTGGCCATAGGGCACTCGTGGCAGTCTGGCGTAGTGGTTAATGTGTCGAGATTATACGCTGCACATCACAAGCTGAGTTCGAGTCCTGCTGGAGTTGCTATGGAGAAGGGTTCAGGCCAGGTCGAAATGGCAGTCCACTCTAGCTGTGATGTGAAATGCAATGGAAAAGTAGGGTATACTCATATGATTGTGGAAAAATGTAGCCACCAATTGTTGCCAGTTGCTAAGGCTGTGGTCTCGCCTGGATACCGACTAAACGTCTGTCAATGTGTACGGCCAACGGTACGGTGTTGGATGAAGACATGACGGCATTGGCTAAGGGGGCAGTTTGGAATGCCTTTCTCGGATTTACCTTAAAACACCGCCATTTTGTGGAAGGAGATTGCTATCAAGCTCTCTTCGTCTTCACATCTACAATCGAGTAGCTTTCTGAATGCCATTTTACTTTTTTGTACTGTTGGAGAATATGGCTGAATAGTTTTAGTGGTTGATTTTCTTGATTCTTAACCGATAAAAATTATCTACCTGATCTTGCTGTCTCTTGGCGACAACAGACATCGGGCCCAACTAGCACACGCAGAAACACACGTGTACTTCCCCACCTTCGAGGCATAGACGATGCATTGAACGAGGCATACCGACAGATCCTTCTCACCCGATTCATTGTTGGGCTCTGCAGAGTTTTGTTGGGCTAGCGGGATTAATGGAGACTTTCTTGCGGCAAAAAGTGAATAACAAGTTTGATTTTGCCATGAACTTTCCGTCCAAATGTCCGTTCATCTTCAGTTTAGGCCGCAGTCGAATCATTTTTTAAGTATCCAATGACGAGGCAACATACTAACCAACCTGCAATTCGTCCTTGACAGACTCGGTACCAGCCGAACAAGAGACAAATAATAACCGGTTTGCCTTAACCATTTCCAGCCTGATATGTCCCTAAGATTGTGCTCTTGTTAAATTCCCGAATTTTGGCTTGCAGCGTACTCTCAGATTGGAGAATATTTAAAAGCATTTTCGTGAATTCATCCTTCAACTCGTGATTTGAATGGAAGATTCACCAGGAATTCTATACTTATTCCGATTCTAAGGAATTCATTTCCACATGCATATTCGAGTTTCTTGTCGCAGCTCTACCAATTATTTTGCTGTTTCTCTTCACAAACAGATTTCTCTGCAGACTCATGAGCTTCCTGCACCCCTTCAACGTCGATTTTGCAAAATCCGAAATAAATCCCGCCTTGAAGACCAAATCTGGTGTGCGAAATGTCCGCTCGAATTATCTTTCCGTGTCTCCTGTCGGCTCTGGCGTCACTTTCAGCAGTGCCGGCAGAGACAATGGCTCGTCCTCACAGAACTGCACTGAGAACCACTCGAGTATGCTAAATGAGGTGAGACTAAAGGAGATAAAAAGATAGAATAATAAATTTTTTTGAATTAATTAACTGGTTAATTAATATAATAAAATATAAGACAATGTAACAATATAGGACCGCAAAATCGACAGATGATATGGGATAAATATCGAACAAAAGGAAATAGGATAAAAGTAGAACGTCCAGATTGTTCGTCTCTTTCCATTAACTTGGTATTTTCATCAGCCAGTTGACTCTTCTGGCCTGACACCATCTGAATCACCAGCGACTCTTATTCGCAAAAGTAAAATCGGTAGTGCTTTGATTTCTTGAAGAATTTCCTGTCATGCGAATTTGGATTTTAGCAGACCCCATATTCATCATTTACTCTGACCTGGACAAAATTCTCTACATGTTCATCTACATTTAATAGGCATCTCTCAAGTCTGATCTCTTTCGATTGTCTGGTTGGCTAACTTCGTTTGTTGAGCTTACTTTCTTTTCGGGTGAAAGTGTTTGGTGAAGACATTCGAAGGTCGATCCCACCAGAAGACGACGGTACACTCCTCTTGACCTGCTGTCGATTTGCTTTACTGTTGACGCCATTTTTGAGGCAAACGCTTTCGATTCCAGTAAAAAGTTGCTAAGCTTTCGTCCGTATTATGACGGACATCATCACAGGGAATTGTATCATCCTTACTACCGTATTTACGGTCACGAATCAAGAAAACTCAACCTCGAAGCATGTCTGTCTGTCTGTGTCTGTGTGCCTTTATGTGTTCATAGATGTACGAAACAAGCAGTGGTGGCTCACTCGTTGTTTTGGCACAATGATCA